TGGCAAATCACAACTAAAAATAGCCTTCATTACACTCTTCTTTATTTCCAGATGTTAACCACAACAAACCTACAGTTCGGATTGATTACTCATCTCGCTTTTTCCGATCAGCAAATTTATAGTGTCCCTAAGGATAATGGTAAGGAGAAGTAGTCGTGCCTAGCCTATCACTGATTCTTCTATTTATCTATCTTTTTAAAAGGATGCATTGTGATTCAATGACCAAGCATTTCAACGTACTTAAAAAGTGCACCGGGAAACTGGACTGTTTAGTTCATGAAATGCTTTTCATAAAGAAGATGAAGCCCTCTTTGAACAAACAATCGGATTCCATACGCGCGAAACTATTTATTTAATAGTTTACATTTATGAACTCAACACGCGCAATTATTTATTTAAACATTTTAAAATTTTTGAACTTTTTACGTTTGCCACCTTCGTACGGTATAAATTAACTATTCATTTTTATTCTCTTCTCACTTGAGAATGATGACATGGAGTCATCGAAACGTTGTGTGTTTTTCTCGCTAGTGTTTATTCTTAAATGATATATTTTTAAGCCAATTTCGGTAGTCGCCAGTATTCGTGAACTTGACTCAATTCAAGTTTAAGTTTTGCGTGTATCAGCGTTGTTAGAATACGCTACACGCAGCATTCCACTATGTAACAAGTTTGTCATGATAGAGACCTCGTTGAGGATTTTTAAACGTCGGCCATATTTTTTTATCCTAACTGACAGTCCCAAGACATACTTGCCTCCATACATGTCCAATACACCCAAACCGTTGCGATTCGTCTACGGCCGTTGACCAATCGTCACACCGGAAGTCGAATCGTGCGTTGACGTACCGGAAGCCGGAAGTCGAGAGGTGAAAGTAATATTTGAAATTACCGTGATGTGCCGGAAGTCCAATTGTGCGTTATTATACCGGAAGTCGAGGAATGAGGAAAAATGAGTGGCATTGTAGGAGAACATGACAACATGAACCTTCCACGTTTTTAAAGCGTGAAACGGCCGGAAGTCTATGGTCAGAATATCATGAGCAATACAGAGTAGAAAATGTTGACGCAATCGACACGATTCGACTCGAATCAAACAATTCGTCGCAGTAAATGACAACCCGTTATACCGGATGCCGATTTGTAAGACACTTACAAAACATATTCCAGAAGTGTCTGTGAAGAGGGGTTGAAGATATTTGTCAAATCGACACGATTCGACTCGAATCGTACGACTCGTCACAGTAAATAGGGACCTTAAGAAGCCACAGCGGCGACGCCAAGGAAGACTTCGATTAAAAAATGAATTTCTACTCTTAGATAGAATTTCAAAAATGGCTGCAGGAGCTTACTATCTCATACAGCGCCAGAGCTCTACTTCAGCATGACGTATAAAGTAGCCGTCGAGTTCCAAATGGCAATTAAAATAATTTGCCGTCGCGGTTTCGGTTCGCAGACGACGCAAATTTTGGCGATTTGACGTTGTTGTTTTGCATAGGACGGCTAAGAAATGTACAAAGTTTCAAAACGCTCGCGCTGAGCTATTGTTCTGCCAATTAGATCTCTTGTTTTCCACGTCCTCGTTTCCGTCACCGTCGTGGTTTCTTAAGGTGCCTATTGACAACCCCTCATACGGGATGTGGATTCGCAAGACACTTAGAAAATATTCCGCAAGTGTCTGTGAAGGGGGGTTGAAGATGTTGTCGAATCGATACGATTCGTACGGTCGACTCCTCTTGTTTGTGGTAAGGTCGATCCTTCGCGTCGGAAGTCTATTCGCAGAGGGCTTCACTCGTTCTCTAGTTATGTCAATGTCGATCCTCGTAACCGCAATATGAACACTTGAGCGTGAGAGGTTGGTATATAGAGGTTAACACCTTGATGAATCTACACAATTCGCACGGATCGAATCGAGTCGTCATCAAGAAAGTTGACCCGTCTCATTCGAAATCGAGATAAATGCACATGAACTTTTCCCGTTTGACCCAGGAAGATGGGCGCGCTATCAACGCGGGTGCACGCTATATTTCTCTTTCATGTATCCACTTATTTTGCATGTGGTAAGTTTATAGAGCATTGAAGCCGCTTCAGTTTTTGACGATTCTTGTCTTCCAGCTGCTGGAGCTGAATAACGTACTGCATGTGCTAGGCTTTGGCGCTTTTGTATGTTTTATTTTCGTTGTGATTTTTGGAAGCGTTGTTTGTGATGCTTCTTTTCTTTATATAACAACCTTCAAAAACTATTTTAACTCCTTACATAATTTTAACAATTCTTATTCTTTTTAAAAAGACTAGAATTACCTAATGCTCTCAACTACAAGATTACCTCAATGCCGTCAAATACAGTTAACATTTCAGTGAAAACCTAACCTCCTAAATTCTCTATACTTTTTTTGTCATTCCTGTTGAATTTTGAGTATAGATACTCAATATTGACTTCCTTTTTCAGTATGTTTGTGATATATACCCTCAATTTTACATATGTATGTGCAAGAAATAGCCTCTATTTGGCGCGAAATATGCAAGAATATTTGTCTGCGGGACAATTATTATCCGTGTTCCAAGACGCGAAAGATAGGAACACTTTTCCGAGATCGCAACTCGAGGAAAACTGTGAGCTTTGTAGAATTCTTCGTAATTACCTTCTCTAAGTTGCTGCTTATTTAACAAATTATAAATGTGACACATCATGATCATTCGAAAAAGTTTCTCTTTACACACAAACAATTGATTTCAGGAAAACAAAGACCGCGTGGAAAGAAGCACTTACCTTCGAAGCAACCTTTACCGAATCGGTGTCCCAAGAGAACACGCTGATCACAGCACTAATGACTATAACGAATGCATAAGTGACGAAAGAAACTAAAAAACGGCATGTTTAGAAACAAGGTAGAATAGGTGATTTGCAACCAATCTCTAGAGACACAGGTAACAATGGTGAAAGGAACAAATGCTGGTGGACGAACAAAAGGAGCTAATGAGATATGTATTGTTTACGTCCACCAACATGGCGGCAATAACGTAACGTGCAAACCACCTCTTAGTTGCAAAGCACCGTGTAAAGAACGGTTAAATCTCTCTCTTCAAAGAAAAAAGAATTCCTCTAAGTTTCATGATGTGCTGACCACACTTTCTACAATGAAAACAATCCTGAAATAATGAGATGTTTATCGTGTTCTTTTGTCTTCCTCAGTGTCATGGCAAGATCATAATATGCTGGTTGCTCTAAGCCAGAAATCACAAAAGAAGAGAACTCTTCTGTGTACCGAGTGCAAATGTCGAACTATTAAAATACGCCGAGAATAGAATAAGTAGCACCGGGAAACGTCGCGTCAAAATTAGGTTAAGGTCGGGATTCTATCGTCATACATGTCCAATACACCCAAACCGTTGCGATTCGTCTACGGTCGTTGAGGAATTGTCACACCGGATGTCGAATCGTGCGTTAACATACCGGAAGTCGAGGGGCGCGCACGTGAGCAAGGAGTGGAAATGAGTGGCATGGTACGAGAACATGACAACAGGAACCTTCCACGTTCTTGACGAGGGAAACGACCAGAAGTGTATCGTTAGAATATTATAAACTATACAGTGTAGCAAATGTTGACGATTCGACTCGAATCGAACGACTCGTCACAGCAAAACAAAACTTGGTTCTCTCTCTGATGGTTGGTCTGTGCCAGTTTTCTTGGACGAAAGTCTTGATTTCTTTCTGATCGTGGCTTTAAAGTCGAGACAGTTCGCTTCACTTAGCAGGGCTTTGTAATTTACAGAATGAATGGGTGGCAACTCGAGACAGCGGTACTTCACAAAATTTGAATATATGATGGCACAGGTGTTTGGCTGTCACGAATGGTGACCTTGAAGTTTCTGATATACACAAAGAGCCTTTTTGTCTCAATTTCCCCAAAATACCGCGACGTTTCTCACACATTGCACTATGTTACGTGAATTTCAAGTTCTCGAAGCGAATATTTGAATTTTAGTTTGTGATCTTTTTTACCGGACTGACGTGCTCTCTGGTGGGGGAAGGAGCGTGTTGAGTAACGTGACCAAAGAATGACAATAAAGGAGACTACAGAAAAGAAGATATCAGTTTTATGCTTGCCATTTCCGCTTGCCATTTGATTTTGATTGGACAGTTTGAAGACAGTTGACCTCACAATTTAAGATAGGATCTGATATAGTTATGTCTAGAAAAGAGATAGGATCTGATATAGTTATGTCTAGAAAAGAGATAGGATCTGATATAGTTATGTCTAGAAAAGAGATGGTATCTGATATAGTTATGTCTAGAAAAGAGATCTAAGAATCTTAAAATTATCGTATTGCATGGAAATTTGTCAGAAGTTGTTTTGACCGGCCCTTTTTTTGTGGGTGGGTGACAGTTTTAAGAGATTTGAAAGAAATTTTCTTTATTCAATAACTTAAAACGGTAGGATTTGTGTAGGATTTTTCTGTACAAGAATTTATTTCAGGGACCCTCAAGTGTTTTATTCGTCATCGGGTAACCTGCTAATATATCAACTCAGTGAAGTAGAAGAGAGTGTTTCCCTAACATGATCTTTTAAGTTTTTTTCGCTGCAGGTTTTACCCATCTGGGAAGGAACGACGAATGTTCTGTCACTAGATGTACTTCGATCCATTTCTAAAAGTGAAGGACAGGTAATAATCACTAAAATAAATGACACTAAAACAGTGTAGAAGATATACCATCTCAATACTATCAGCAACAAATGTTACCTTTTTAATCCAGAATTGTTTTGTACAATTGCTGACCTCGATAATTATTCCACCAAGGTTGTGTAGTATGCTGAACCCTCCAATAAAGCGTTTGAAAAGAAACAAGTCAACCTTTATTATGCTATCATGCGATGATTGGCAACATCTTCCGTTTTTTAGAGCATTGGTAAGCCCACTTTCAGCTCCGGCTTTATTTGCTCTGGTTTTGTAGCCTCTCCCCTTTGGTACACCCCTTCTGAATTTGCAAGCTTTAATCGATTCGATGCAGTCATCTAAGCGGTAACCGGCAGCAATTCAACGAATTTTACATTGTGGTTTTTGATTTCAAGTCTTCATTAAACTCATATTTAGTGTACTTTCAGCATACATCTTCTCTTTTCTTATTAAAATGCAGGTACTGAAGGCTTTTCACGCGAACGTTACCGACAAGTTATCCAGGGCGTGCGCGTCTCGTCCAGCTCTAAAAGTTATATCAGAGAAAGTGCAATCCTCCATGAACACCTTGTTGTCTCCGAAAAACTACGAGCTTCTCTCTGATTCGTTGCCTGCACGAGATCTCGCCTTCAGCCTGGCAAGAATATACATGGGTATGGTGCTGATGATGCTGTTTTGCTTGCAAATTTTTTAATGAATTGTTATATTACGGTTACAAAGAGTGTGTGGTCGGCGTCAAAGGATGTTTGAGAAGGAAGGGAGAACTAAGGCGCAAAGTGTAATCATTGGAATCTGGTGGGGAACAATCCAATTCATTCTCCCCTCTCCCCAAAATATCATAATCTTCATCATTTCTAGCTCACCGGATTTAGTTTTTGGCGAATAAGATGAAAAGAATAGCAGTGTCGGAACCTCGAGTTATTGTTATTTGTTGCTGTTTGTTGCTTAACGTCGCTCTCAAATAGACTAGATTGTCTCGCCTTACCTCCCCAGCCTCCAGACCGGAGCGCGTGTTCGTGACCGTAATATCACACTCACTTTCTAGATATCACGCCTTAAACCATTTTTTCCCCTTTATTAGCGTCTCTATTAATAGAGCATGCTTCCTGGGAGGAGGCTGAAGAACAGGACATCGAAGCTGCCAAAAGGTAAGATTAGAGGTTGGGACGAAGATACTAGGATTCTCTGCGTAAGCTAATATTCCTGCTGATCGTAACTCCTTTCCTTAAAGCAAATATATAGCACCTAATACCTTCTGTCTCCACAGTCTCTTTTATATATATTTTCTATGTAAGGTATTGCAATCTCAGTTCGTAGGAACTTGCGCTCATCCAAAAGGTACTTTCAAAATCGTATCTAGCCTTTCTTATTCACTGTTCTCGAGTGACTTTTGAACCAAGCTTCGCAAGGATAGAAATGCACAAAACACAATTTCTTAAGACTCGTACAATATCTTTAGGTGGTGTCAGCAAGACTTGACCCCAGTCCTCACTCAACTCAGACACAACGCGTACGATGCAAAAAGCTCTGCCTGTGACCTGGCACTAGTTATGAAGGGACATCCAGATTTCACAAGAACATAAAACTTGACAGTCATTTAGAAAGTCCTACACGCCAGCTGCTGGAAAAAGGTTTTCAGTCACTAATTCAATGACAGAATTTGTCGGGGAAACAAGATATGATTTTCTGGATTGCTTGTTTTCATCAGAGAGACAGAGACTCAAAAAAACAAGCAAAATTATATTATATATGCAAGACGAGTTAGTCCGTGCAGAAGGGTTCAAGGAGTAAGGAAATGAAAATTGCCTAACAAAGGTGACAGTACAGTAAGCCACAAAAATGTAAAGGTAAAAAATGATCATGAAAACTGGTCTGGTTAGGGAACAGAATGCGCACCAAAGCGGGTGTTGTGGTGACACTTTTAGTCTTTTGTGTTCTACAAAAAGATGCAAAAGTAAACCATCAAATAAGCTGGTCAGCAGTTTCGGCCCGAGCAGGTCTTATTACCGTGACATAGCTGATCAGCCAATGATTAAAAGACTTAAAAGAATATCGATTATTTTTAAAACCGGATTTTGAAGTCAGTATTTTAATCCATCTTCATCCTCCCATACTTGTTATACGTACATTGGGTATATTTACATCTCTGCAAAATAATTGTAGATATCATTATCATCTCATTAAATTATCTTGTGAATCTTATATGATCTGTAGATTTTGTCTGTTACGCATGCTCTATTGTTTCCCTGTTCCAGTGCCTCTCTTAAAGTACTGAGAGTACTTTTTGGTTTTTATGAAGAAACAGCCGCAATTTATTGTATTTTTCGCGTGCGAATCTCGGTATATGCAGGAAGAGTTAGTCCGTGCACAAAAGAAGGGTTCAAGGAGTAAGGAAATGAAAATTGCCTAACAAAGGTGACAGTACAGCAAGCCACAATAAGCGACAAAAGGAGGTGAGACATTTTGTCTATGAAAATTATTTTTTTTTTTCTTACGGTCGCATTGTCTCCTTATGCTTCCTAGTTTCCCTTCTCAATGTTGTCATACACAACAAAGCAGCCGGGGTCGGGCATCAGCGGAATCTAATCAGCGAGAGGAATAATTTGTCCAACATTCAGAAACATAGGCAATTGTCTCAAACTTTGTGTTGCTTATTGTTGCAAGAACGCCATGTCCATTATGAGCACTACAAACCACGGATATCATTGATGGGGTTGAACTTGCGTGCGGAAATTTGGCTTTGAAACATAAACTCATTTGAGGTTGAAAAGTAGCACCCAATGTCGTCAATGAAGATTTAAATGAAAAAGGAACGATTGACAGTCGAAGATGTTATGCTAGGTGCAAGTCAAGCAGTATTAATTATCTGAGTAAAACCGGCAACACTAAAGATCGTCTTAAGTCTGTTTTCTCTTATTTTGTAGCATGTCTATGTTAAAGTCATCAACAACAATGATCCCATGATACTGAGGATAAACATCTCGACAAATTTAGTAAGATCATTGAAAAGTCAGAAAAAGTGCCTTCAGCGTTCAGAATACCCATCAGATACTAAACAGCCAGACTGTTTTATCATTCATTGATTATTTAAGACGAAAGATCAGTTCGGGAAACTGCCCAGAAATAACAGAACTTCCATTATCTTTTGCAGTGTCACTGTTCATGAATGTGAAAGTTACTCCTGAACGCTGAACGGAACTGACACCGTTGACTCCACGCTTTGAAATAGGACCTCTTATTAAAGCACTTAAACGGTATCGGGTGTTTTTCTTTAACATGGTTTCTGTGCTGAAATTCAGTTCAACACCGCTATAATTGAAATTCTTGGCCTGTAATTGATTTGTGTGCAATGGTCCAGTTTGCAAAGACATTGACACTGTCTCAGATCCGACCGTCTTCAGGTTGAAGTCTACGCACTAAGTGCTGTCCTCTTTACGATTGAGGCATAATCCACATAAGGTAATGTCTCTGTCTGTAGAGAAATCGATGACATCTGGCCTGCCTTTGTACGCCCATGTACTGCGAGGTGGTGAGTTGAATCTACAACATCGTTGAATTTTACCAGCTGAACCAGATCTTGTTGTTTCGGGAAATACCGCTGGAAACTTGGAGTTAAAGCTTACGTGTCTAGCAACACTGGCAATTTCGGCTTTTGTAAGAATATCAGTGAGTAAAACAACATTCATAAAATCTTCCTGACTCATTGTAGGGAAGCGTATCGCCGTAACTGTTTGTTCTCCGAGAATTCTTCTTTTCGTTTCACCATCCGCCTCTAAGCCTTGCCTTTCGCATTGTTTAGTGGCCCACATGTCAACTGCTTTGAACAGATCTATCTCTTCAATTGCCAGAGTGTCTCTTACGACTATTGACCCAAGTAAGGACCTCTCAATTGTCGCAAATCCGTCTGATTCTACAACTTCCTCTGCCTTTTCGTCGATCACTTTCCAGCATCTTTCCACCAGGTCTTTCTCTTCATATATCTGAGCAGAGGGAAGGATACTGAAAACATTAGATAGATCCAGGCTTTTGAGGAGATATTCGGCACATTTTTCAGCGAGTGAAGGCACCATGTATTTCTTCGCCAAATACAACACTCCCATCACAGTACTTCCGCTCAAGTTCACTTCATCGCTGTACAAGTAACGAAACAACTCCAGCAGACTCTCGTACTCACAGTCAGGCAGTTCAATGGAGTCTTTAGTCTCCGCCAACTCACCGTAAAACATGGCTTCAAACACAGGACTACTGATCGACAGCACGAACTTGTGAGCTGGAATCGTTTGTTTACCTTCGCTTTCACCATCCACCTTCCAAACAGTGAACTTGATATCGCTGAAGCGGTCGTTGTTGAAAACAAACTTGGCTCTTTCTCTGATAGTTAGTCTTGTTGTTTGCCAGTTTTCTTCGACGAGGGACATGATTACTGTTTGTGGCGCTAAAAGCAGTTAAGATAGAACTTCAGTTTGAAAGTGCAGGTTATTGCAATCTTTGTCTGAGTTTTGACATATTTCTCAATGTAATGACAAAAGTCAGACCAAAGTGAGGCATTAGGCCTACTCTGGGACCTTAAGTTGCCTTAAAGTCGCATTAAGTCGCCTTAATTCGCCTTGTGTCGCCTTAAGTTGCCTTAAGTCGCTGTTGGTCACGCAATGTTATTTGGGTTCCACCCTTCCCGATTGACTCCATTCACCCCACTTTAATCATACGGATCAGAGGAGGAAGCATGGTAGCTAAATGGTTGGTGCACTGGACTCGAAATGAGTCCAGTTTTGGTTTCTAGTGTTGCAGCATTGCATTGTGTTCTTGGGAAAGATACTGTAAGCTCAAAGTGCCTCACCCTTTCCAGTTGTAAACATGGCTACTGGTTGGCAAGGGGTAGGTAACCGTCCAATGGACTATGAGTTTAATTATTGATATTGCAAGGTGGGCAATGGCTTCCATAGACATGGAAACCCCAAGAAATGAGTCCAGTTTTGGTGTCTAGTATTGGAGCATTGCATTGTGTTCTTGGGCAAGATACTGTAAGTTCAAAGTGCCTCACCTTTTTCACGTGTAAATATACGTACCGGTTGGGAAGGGGTGAGGTAACCCTGCAATGGACTATGAGTTCAATTATTGATGTTGCAAGGTGGGTAATGGCTTCCATTTACATGGAAACTCCATGAGAAAATAGTCATGCACCTGTCTAGCCCCTGTGCAGACATGGGTAATTCCTACGTGGAGACTATATTGATGTAGGAAATATGACAATATATACTCTTCCATTTTCTTACTCAAACAGCATTTCTGTTTCAACAAAATTTCTGTCTTGTATTTCATGACGAAAAAGTTGACAAAAGGGTCGACACTGTGTATGATCATCAGGGTATAATAAATATTGAATCAAATCAAACCTACAGTACCAGATCATCAAGATAAAACGATAGAAAGGTAATCTGGAGAAAGGCTCAATTCTTGCCACTCACTTACCTATATCTTTAGCAGTAAAAATAACATTCTAAAAAGTCAACTAAACTTAACTGAAGCTAAAGTTTATCCACTTAACTTACCCAGAGTAAGAGAGTGACAAAAGTGAGCCATTTCTCCAGCATAAACCCAGTGATCTGTACTAGCTACTTCCACCATGGTATTCGACCAACTAAAAACATTTGAACACTGTAGCTCGACGAACATACTAAAGGCGTAAATATTTATCTATCTTAATACTTTGATAGACTTATTGTACATTTCATCTTTGTCAGTCTGATGATCAACATACATGAACCACTTCTAAGCCGAGAAAAGCCTTTTGCAGTAAACATGGCCGCCAGTCTTATTTGATCACGTGACTTAAGTTTTGTCCCGTGACCAAAGTGCACGCGAGAACAACGCGCACGCGAGCCTGCTGAAAAGTGTACAGAGAAATTCTTTCCAATCCACACCCACAGCAAAAGTCCGTCTTGTGTCTATTGACTGGTTACGTGCTTGCATTGCGGAAAGAAAAATCCTGCCACAATTCGAGGTAAAGCAAAGGAATTTTTTCGGTAATAGCAGATAGTATGGGCGAACTTGGCTAGAGAATCCCTTCAATGTTCCTAACTTCGAAGCATAGAAACTAGTTAGCGGTGCATAGGTTAATGGGAGAATTAAAATGGCTGAGACCATAGAGCCAGTTGTCAGCTTGGAGAATTTCGTCGTGACTCGTTAGTTTCTGGACAGTTGTAAGGTAGTGAAGGCTTTTAAACCTGTAATACTGCCACCAGACTAAAAATAAAACTTGTCTAATTTTTTTTAGGGGAAACACTATAAGTTAGAAACAAGTAAATGCTTGGAAGGTCCTGCTGATCCGATCAGCAGTGGAGAATAATCACCAAAGCACTTCGGCGTCTTTGATGTTTTTGCTGATTTTCCAAGTTTTTGCCTGCTGGAAAAGTTGGGGTTGTAC